TATATATATATATATATATTTATTTATTTATTTATTTATTTATTTATTTATTTATTTATTTATATTATTTATGCATATGTATATACGGATGTATATATGTATGTATATGTATATACACATTATTATACATATATATATACAATAAATAAATATAAATAAATATATTATATACATATAATATATATATTATATATATTATATATAAAATACACATGTAAATAGAGGAGAAAATGAATAAAGAAAGGAAAGGGTTTGTATATACAACAATGAAGGGTTTAGTGTTTAATAATGAATAAACCCTAAACCCTAAACCCTAAACCCTTTTATGAATTAAAAAAAAAAAAAAAGAGGAAAAAGAATTACCTGTAAATTAAGAAGAAGTTTATCTGCCTTTGTGTCTCCTTGCCATACTCTAACAAGTAAATAATCAGAAACAACCATGGATGCACCCGCTATATCATTGCTGCTGCTGCTGCTGCTGCTGCTGCTGCTGCGTAGCTGCAGCTGTGGCTTAGCAGACAAATGAAATAGCATAGGGTGTCCAATAGGGAGCAGCAAAGTGCTGCTAGCGTGCTGCAGGGAGGCCTGCATCTTAAAGAATATAGGTTCCCCGTTGCTGCTGCTGCTGCTGCTGCTGCTGCTGCTGCTGCTGCTACTGCTGCTGCTGCTACTGCTGCTGCTGCTCCCTTCATAGTATACACCTATACGGTAATTACATATAAAAGATTTATGCTGATGAATATTATTCTCTATTATAACAATTAATTGATTATATTCATTAATAAAAGATTTATTTGTATATAAATGTACAGAAGGAAGGAAGGATAATCCCCACATATTTCTTGCAAATGTTTCTGTATTACATGATTGTACATATATATTTAATTTATTTAATACTTCTTCTTGGTATTTTATTAAAGATAATTGATCCTGCTGCTCCTGCTGCTGCTGCTGCTGCTCCTCCTGCTGCTGCTGCTGCAACAAATTAGCAGATGATGCCTGTTGTAGATCAGGGTCTAATGTTAACACTAAATAACCACCAGATACCCTATACATAAATAAACAAAAAAAAGAACAAGAATATATGCATAAGCAGCAGCAAACAGGAACAACAGGAGCAGCAGCAGCAGGAGCAATAGCAGCAAACAGCAACAGAAGGAAGAAGAGAAGCAGCACCAACACGAGCAAGAAGAGGTGTAGGTGCAACAGCAGCAGCAGGATAAAGAACCTCCACCACCACCCCCACCACCCCCACCAGCAGCAACAGCAGCAACAACAGCAGCAACAGCAACATTAACAGCACCAGCAGCAACAGCAGCAGCAGCAGCAGAAACTAACGAGGTCTCATAAGAAAAGAAGGAAGGATTTGGGGTGTATAGGCAGTAAAAATATTTATTAATTGTTTCCCTTAAGGAAATAAAATCACTTCTTTCTCTTGCTACTAATTCAAGTATTGGCTCGTAACCCTATATACATAAATAAATAAATAAATAAATAAATATAAATATAAATAAATAAATAAATATAAATACATAATTATAATTAATTAATTAATTAATTAATTATATGCATAAGGATATAAAAAAAGATATTTATTTATGCAAAAGATGCATATAAAGGATTAATAGGGCAAGAAAAAAGGAGATAAAAAAATAAATAAAAAAAGGAGACAATAAATAAATAAATAAATAAAATAAATAAAATAAATAAATAAAATAAATAAATAAATAAATAAATAAATAAATAAATAAGAACAACTTATTGCATCAGCATCCAGATTAACCTTAACAACAACAAAAAGAAGACGCCTAAATAAATAAACTAAATAAATAAATAAATAAATAAATAAATAGAATAAATAAATAAATAGAATAAATAAATAAATAAATAAATAAAATAAATAAATAAATGAATAAATAAATAGTAACTTACTGGATCAATATCTAGATTAACCTTAACAACAACAAAAAGAAGACGCCTAAGATGTAAACTTTTTCTTTCTTTTTTTATTTTTATTTCTTCTTTTATTTTTTCTCCTAATTTATATTTATTACTACGCCAACATATCTCTGATCCATCAGGAAGGATGCATGCAGATTCACTATACATACCTGCAGCAGCAGCAGCAGCAGCAACAGCAACAACAACAATAGCAACAGCAGCAACAGTAGCAGCAAGAGCAGCAAGAGTAGAAGCAGCAGCAACAACATGAGCAGAAACAACATAACCATCAACACCACCACCAACAACAACAGCAACAGCAGCAGCAGCACCACCACCAACAGCAGCAGCAGCAGCAGCAGCAGCAGCAACAGCAGCAGCAGCAGCAGCAGCAGGAGCTTACTTTCATCACTATATATCTTATTCATATCTAAATATAAAAATGCCGTCATTTCTTTAATTAAATAATTTTGTGTATAAAATAAATTAATAAAAAAATCTGCAGAATTATTATTAATAAATAATATAAATATTTTTATACCTAATGAATACATAAATATATTTAATGGTATATTTATTTCCTCATTTATATTTATATACATAAATAAATCCTCTATATGATTATTTATTAATAAAGAAAAATCTGTCTCTCGTGGTAGTACCTCCTCTGCAGCAGAAGCAGCAGCAGCAGCAGCAGCAGCAGCAGCAGCAAGAGGAGGAGCAGCAGCAAGAGGAGGAGGAGGAGAGGGAAATACGCAGGCACAAACACAGACAGGGAGAAGAAAGGGTTTGAGTCTAAAAGCTTTTTTCTTAAAGGGAATGGAAATTAGGGTTTAGGGTTTATTAGGGTTTAGGGTTTATTAGGGTTTAGGGTTTATTAGGGTTTATTAGGGTTTAGGGTTTAGGGTTTACCATGTGCATGTCTATCATATACAGAAATAAGTAATTGGCAACGATCTATTGAATAGAAAGGATCATCATCATCACTAAACCCTCCCTCAAACCCTCCGGACTCTTTTAGGGTTTTAGGGCTACAAGGAGATTCATATTCCTCATCACTATATAAACCCCAATTTGGACCTGCTCACAAACCCTAAACCCTAAACCCTAAACCCTAAACCCTAAACCCTAGAACACACAATGCAACACGCAACATATTTTCTAACACTGGAAACACACCAATTATTCGAAATACAAACCCTAAACCCTAAACCCTAAACCCCGAACCCTAAAACCCTAAACCCTAAACCCCGAACCCTAAAACCCTAAACCCTAAACCCTAAACCCTCGAAACGGACCAATTCTAAGGAAGAGTGTATTAGGATCATCAGCAAAAGGTTGCAACTTGAATACACCAGGAGGAAGATAATTATTATTAATTTTATTAAAATTAATTTTATTTATTTCTTTTCCTCTATGCATGCGTGATACATAAACATCAATAGGGTTATTAAAGGAAGTAGCACGAAGAATAAGTAAATCTCCTTTCCTTTTTGCTGCTGCATGCATGCGTGCTGCTATAGCACTCCTGCTGCTCCTGCTGCTGCTGTTGCTGCCATTTGTTCCCTTGCTTCTAACGATACTGTTGTTGCTGTTGCTGCTGCTGCTGCTGCTCCTCCTGCTGCTGCTGGTACGTATATCCTCAAGAGTCCATACAAAATGTGCAGGTATTCCTCCCTTTATTACTCCTCTTATTGGCTCTCCTGTAGGCAATACGCGTGCCCCCTCTATTATATCTTCTTTTGTTTGCTGCAGCAGCATCTCTATCTCGTAACTGCATGCAGCCCCAACAGGTAATGATGAATCGTGAACCTGCAATATATAAAAAAAAACCCAAGCCCTAAACCCTAAACCCTAAACCCTAAACCCTAGACACAGAACCCTAAACTATAAAACATCCAAAACGCTAAAAGAGACTAAACCCTAAACAATAAACCCTAAAACACACTACACCGTAAACACTAAACACGAAATCCCCAAAACCGTTAAACCCTAAACCCTAAACCCTAAACCCCAAACCCTAGAAAAAAAGGGGAAAAAATAAAAGAAAATAAAAATAAAAGCAAACATAAAGAAGAGAATAAAATAAGAATAAATAAAAGAAGGAAGAATAAATAAATAAGGAAAAAGACTTACAAGGAATAAGAAGTACCCATATTGCCATTCTTGTGTTTTTTTTTTTAATAAAATATTTCTATTTCTTGGATATTTAAAAACCTTAATTAAATTATTTGGCCATTTAATTGTTATTGAGGGTTTACATGAATTATAATTAGGGTTTACGTCAAATAATAGTCTTAATATATAATAATCTTCTTCTTCTTCCTCTTCTCCTTCCTCTTCTTCTTCTTCTCCTTCTTCTCCTCCTTCTTCTCCCTCTTTTTCCTGTTTTTTTGCTGTTTTTCTTTGTTTTCCTCCTTCTGTCATCCTCGGGTGTATATCCACCTTATAATAATCAATTTTATTTCCTCTTAATATTCCTCTTGTAGGTACACCAGAGGTTAAATATGTTGCTGCTGCTGCTGCTGCTGCTCTACTGCCCGTCAGCAGCAAATTATAACGTTGTGCTACTGGTGCAGATATATCTATACGTAGCACACATTGATTAGGACGAATTCCTCCTATTCTTCCTGCTGCTGCTGCTGCTGCTGCTGCTGATATAGGCCCAGCAGCAGCAGTATCTGCAGCAGTGCCACCATCAGCAGGAGCAGGAACAACAGCAGAAGAAGGAGGAGGAGGAAAGAAGCATCCACTATCTTTTTTTAATATATCTAATTTATTACGGTGTATATACACCTGAGGTGCATGCAAACCATCAGACCACCAATTTGCTCTTCCTTCTTTTAATGGCGTTAAATCTCGTAAATCAGACCATTTCTGTAAACCTACATATGCATCTATACCTGAATCTACATTTACTGCAAAACAAATACACAACAAACCCTAAACCCTAAACCCTAAACCCTAAACCCTAATTGCTTATGCTACATATATATGTATATACCCATCTCTACATTTACTGAAAAAAAAAAAAAAAAAA